GATGGATAGGCAGATGAATAGATAGGTAGATGGATGGATAGGCAGATGAATGGATGGATGGATGGACGGATGGATGGGTAGATGAATGGATAGATAGATGAATGGTGGGAGAAGGAGGAGGTGAGAGGAGGGATGAGAAAATGGCTGAAAAGATGACACATTGGTTAAGAGAACTTCTGTTCTTGCAGTGGGCTGGAGTTCAGTTCCCAGTGTCCACCTTGGGTGGCTCACAACCACCTGTAATTCAAGTTCTGCACATGCATGGTGTACATATGCGCGCACACACACACACACACACACACACACACACACACACACACACAATCTTAAGAAAATGGCTGAGTGAGAGGGCTCATCGGGAAGACCTTTAAGGCAGGGACGAGATGGCTGATGGGCAAACAGGTGTCCGGGTGAGGGGAAGAGTGACCGTGTGGAGAAACGGGAGCCAGCAGGGCTGAGTAAAGTGATGAATCATCGAGTCACTGGGGAATGGCGAATGGACGCAGGAATGGATGCCAAGTGAGGGAGCCAGGGCCTGAGTAAATCACTGACCTAGAAGAACAAACCCAGCCGCCAGGAGAAAGCAAGAAGAGTGAGCAATCAGCCCGGATCCTGCACAGTGAGCTTTGAGCCTCTGGCAGGAAGTGCCGCCTCCCTGCTTCCTGGAGAGTTGTGTGTCTGTAGAATGAAGCCTGGAGGCGGGAGTGTGCCCCACCTCTGCACCCCTGGCAACATTCCTCAGCCCCATGGCCCTGCCACTGGAGTGAGTATCGGCCAGGCCGGCTGGGTCACAGTGGTGACTCAGACCTGTGGGCCCCTGCACCTGGCAGCCTGCCAGCACCTCCCTAGGCAGCTTGAGATCTGGACAAGCCTCTTCCTACCATGGACTCCTGTGTCCCTCACACCAGTCGGCCCCCGGGACCATATTCTAGGCTGGGAATCTGCTCCATACCTCTGTGCCCTCAACACAGCACATTACCCTAGGACAGCACTATACCACCCAGGGCAGTCTAGTGGTGCCTCATCCTGGGGGTGACCTTCAGCTTTGCTACTAAGCTGTGCAACTTCTGGCAGATGCCTTAACCTCTCTGAGTCACAGCTTCCTCATTTACATTAAAACATCGCACATCCTGAGAGTTGGTGTAAGGACTCAGAGAAACCAAGGACAGGCAAGCACCTCAACTTCCCTGGCACATGAGGCACGGTGCCCCTTGTTTCCAGGGGCCTGACTCTGTGTGTG